GGGGTAACTCATCAGTGCTGTGTTTAGTTTTGACAATTGGGAACAGACCTTTTAGACTGCCAGGGAACTGACAGATCCGCTTGGCTGTAGTCTCTGTCTGTACAGGTTTTTAATATTTCAGCTTAACTGTGAGAAGGCAAAATTATAAATGGTAATTAGCAATTGATGACATAAAATACAGAAAGGTTTAGGCTTCAGAGCAGTGACTTTAGCTGAGGTGAGCATAAAAATTTGTTTCTTGTAAGCATTTTTAATAGTGTGGTATCAAGCTAATGACAACTTGCACCACGATCACTGCAAGTGCAGAGAAGCACATAGTCAGAGCCTGACCTGCTGGCTCAAAAAAACATTCATTGCTCACGTTAAAGGYGCCTGTGTGAGCCAGGAAGTGAGATATTAATTAAGGAGCTGTGCAGAGCTGGTGTGAACAGGCTCCCTGAGGTGGGCAGAGCTGTGAAGCTCCTCAAGAAAGGTTTTACATTGGTTTCTTTGCACCTGGGGCACAACCTGGGCAAAGATGCCCCTTTGTATCCCCAGTGCCCAGGGGAAGGAGAGCAGCAGAGACTGAACGTGCAGGATGAGGAATGTACTCTTGCTCTCTACCAAGTCTGAGGGTACAGAGAAATCTGTTGGCCACCTGTTTTGGGAGTGGCACCATATTGCAAAGCAGCAGCTGGATTAACCTGTGTAAAGCAGTAGTTCATTCTATCTATTTTCATTTAATTCAGATAGAAACAACACTTTTGCATCTCACTGGTTTTTAGCATTACTCCACCTCACTAGCTCAGGGCTTGGAAAAATGGAAGAATCTCAGCTTTCATTAAAGCATCCTGYCTTTTCCCTTGTCAAAATAAACTGAAATTTTAAGATAAGAAATATATAGATTATTAATCTAGCACTCCTTCCCTGCATGATCAACACTAAATTTTAAAGACAGGGTGATTACAGACACATATGTATAAAAGAGATAAATATCTAATTCTAGTGAAGTCAAATAACTGGAGAGACAAAGGACTGGGAAAAATCCAGGAATGATCACCCTTTCCATGTCAATGTTTTACTATGAATTAAGGGAGTGGCACTCCTTCACTGSCTCTTGCTCCCAGGTTGAGGCTGTTAGACCTTTGCTGCTGCAGGTGCTTTATCAAGGGAGATTGAAGGCAGCTTGCAGGTGTTTATCTGTGCTGCAGTCACAGCTCCCTCCRAGTTTCCTGAGGAGCCCTGGGAGCCACATTTCAAGGCAGTGGCTGCAGAGCACCAGATTTGCTACCTTTCCGCATTCCTTGTGCTTCCACAGGTGAATTGTGCAAAYACAAAGGTGCTGTGGGTTTTAATAATCACAAGGTATCTAACAACTTTGTTTGGGTTTGGGTTTTTTGTTTGTTTTTTTGGTTTTGTTTTTGTTTGGTTGGTTTTTTGGTTTTTTTGGGGTTTTTTGGGTTTTTTTTTTTTTTTTCCTACGACAGCAAAATCTTCAAGCCCAGGGTTGACAGTGAAGAGCTGATAAATAACAATTTTGGGATTACCTGGCAGATGACTCCTGTAATTGACATGGGTGTTCCACAGCAGATTGTTGCTCTGCAGGCCTATCACAGCAAATGTCTCTTGATTGCTTGCAATTTAAAGTTTGCAAATACAGAAAACACAGCTTAGTCAAATTGCAGCAGTGTTCAAATCACCCAGCCACGCATTAACATGACCTGGCACAGAAGCAGTGTTTTTTCACATAGAATAAAATAATCATTTAAGTAGAAATCAAATTATACTGATGAAATATTTGACCAAGAGTGTACTCTATTCCATTTAATACAGATTAAAAGCAAAGAAAAAAGGATAGAGRGATAATTGCTAAACTAATGCCACTGTGAAACCTCTGTAAGTCAACATTCAATTGTTTTTTCACTTCACAAACAGACCAGTTCTGCTGATGCCTTTACGTTTGACTGTAATACACTACAAAGATCTTACTGTTGCTCCTGTGAGCAATGCTAATTTAAGGAAAGCTCAGATAATTTTTAAGCATTGTACGGCACATTTAAATTGCATCCAAAGAGGAGGAGAAAAAAGTAACAGTTTCACAACCTCATTTTGATCAGTTTTTGCAGACACAGTATCAGACCACTGTATTTGATCCAGCCCAATGTACTTAATTTGCCCAAACATTTGTGGTAATGGTGTATTTTGATTAAATTATCTGAGTTTTAAAAACTGTTGCTATAGCAACATACACTCTAGAGTGAGATGCCTTAGCAAATAATTTCTGTCAGGAAATTATTTGATAGGATGATGATAGGAAAATTCAATATAAGTAGCTGAATTGCTGATACTCCTGCCCAAACTAAAAATAAGCCAGGTTTGGCCTTGATACAAATAGGCTTTTTTTTTTTAAAAAAAAAAAAAAAAAAAAAAAAGCTGAAACAAAGGTAAGTGTTGATATAACTCTCTATCTGTACTTAGGGTAGGAGAAGGTAAGAAAATAAGAGTGATAAAATAGGCTGTCTGTAATAAAATGCCATGATTAAATATGGTCCTTACTCTGGAACAATTCATGYCACCTGTACATGCCCATTTCTGCTGTAAAATCTACCCCACAGCCATTACATATAAATATGTAACACTCCTAGGTGTTTCTCTGCAGCGTATTTGCCATTGCCATCCTGTCATCTTGAATTTTTAGGGACCTTTTCCTCCTACCATCATCTTAGGAAGTGTGAAAGTTTATTGTTTTGTGTCAGGTCACGAACTCAATTACAGAGGAATTCGCCTACACTTACAGAGTAAATGTCTGTGAAACCAAGAACCTGAAACTGAGTGTTAGTCCATATTTTTCCTTGACTTGCTGTCCACCTGCAAGATGAGAGGAGGCCTCTGTAGTTTCTCACTTGTAACTACTCAGTGCCAAAAGAAGGCATCTTTAGATTTTGGGCAGCATTTCTGCATCTACTCCCAGGTGTATTTGGTGCCCAAATATTCTCAAAACTTCAGGAAGCCAGCTGGGGGCTGTTCAGTCTGTAGCARAACAGGCAAATTTTAACAATTGTATGGATAACGTAAATCGTTCAGTCTAAACCTCTCTCCCGGGGATATCACTGTCCATGCACAATTGTACATTAATTTTTCTGATGCTAACTGAGGTGCCAAGCATTTGAAAACTATCATAGTGTGTTTTACTCTCTGAATCATCAAAAGCCCTTTGCTGCCCAGCATTGACCTTTGGAGTCCTTTGCTGAATGTTTGCAGTCACCAAAGTAACCCACAGTTGTGCCAGGGAGATGTTAAAACTGAGTAAGAACATAGACTGGTGCTAGCARCATTTTAGGAAAAGTTCAAATATTCTTCAAACCTGCTGTACAGTCTTTATGTAGCAGGAAAAAGCATTTGTTAGATGCAGTTGGATTAGAAAGCAATGAAGTTTATGCAATAAAAGTTTATAAAGCACGCAATGGTCACAAGCTAAAGGGTCCTGGGTTTGATCCCAGAGCAAGTGTTTACACATGAAGATTCTGTTGTTGGCCATGTTCTTTACCTTCAAATAGAAGTTTGGGTAATGGAATATTTAATTCCTCTYTGATGTTTGATTTCTGCTGCTTCTTACATGCACTGAATTTGCCCAAAGCTGGCTTYTCTTGCTTCATTTTGCTTCCTCGCAGAGTCCCTAGAAGAGGTTGAATGTCAATAAGTTTTAAGAAAGCCCTGAGGGCTCTAGCACTCTACTCATTTGCACACTGTCAGAGCACTGTGGCATTACTAAGCTGGATTCATACCTGATTGACACAAGGAGAGAATCAAATTCTGCCTGTCCAGTAGTTCAGGATGTAATGGATACTTGGATTTTGTTGATGCCGGACAAAAATAAATTTCTGAGAAGCAGCTCTCTTGTCTCAGGTGATAGAACACCCCCATGTATCTTCTTCACCAAGAATTTGAAAGTAATTTTATGTCCTTTTTAAAGGTTAATATATTAGGACTGCCACTCATTTCCCATGTGATATAAGAAATAAAAACAAGACTTGCCTTTGACGAAAAGCCTCGATTAAAAAAAATAGCACAAGTCCCTCTTAAAATGTTCTTTTTGACATTGTATATGTCACCAATTTGAAACCACAGAGTGACTTGCTGACTGTCATTCCTTTCAAAACYCTCTGAATCTCTAGGGTTTGGAAGAATATTTGCAAACCAGGTGGTTTCCTCGTAAGTGTATTAATTGCCTTAGCATCATAAAAGCATTCATAATTTGCTTACAAATGTTTTCCATTCTTGCTTGTTTAAGCATTTTAGGTCCCAGGGAGCTGCAGTTTTCTTTCCTGAATGAAATATTCCCCAGCTCTGTGTTTCTTGTGAGAAATGACTGATGTCCCCCAAGAACATAAGTTGTGCATGGAGTTGTTAAAGTCTGCAGTTTGAAAAGGGAAGAAAAGGACAGGGGCAATTTTCTCAGAGGTTTAACCAATAATTTGAATTAATAGAGCATCCTGTAACTGATAATTGAAGCAAATTGAAGTTAAACTAAAAAATTGAAGCAAATTTAAGTCTGTGCTCTGTGGCTGAGGCTGTTTGACTTTTGCACCACCKTTTTTTCTGAGCAGTACGTACATGGCTTTTATGAGCACATCCTACATGCAGAAACCTTTTTCCAGTGTGTCAAAAGGAAGCTGTCCTACCACAAAACCATACCAACAAAAGTAGCAATAGACAAGGGCAGAACTGGAGCAAAAAGATAATTTTTTTTCAGCCTTTCCTATATTCTTCTTTTTGCATGACTTACATGAGTATTTGTAATCACTTCGCTGGATGCAGCTGTTTCTCTGTTACAGTATCCGTTTTGTGTTAATGGAATATTTCTCTTTACAGTGTGTTTGACTTGTGTGTCTCACTTCAGCTTATTCTCCTGGGAGATCTAAAAGTGGTATTTATAGATATTTTCTTGTGATTAAGCTTGAATTTTCTGTGGTGAACATGGAAATAATTTTTTCACTTTTTCCTTCCCCACTTTTAACCAGGTAGACAAGAAAATTGTCCGCACTGAAATTGGAGTTCTTCTTCGCCTTTCRCATCCCAACATTGTAAGTTTGGCCATGTTCTTTCACTCCACATTTGTTTTCTTGTGTTTTAAAACTCTTTGTGTTCTTGAGAGATGACTCTTGTGGTTCACCTGTGGAGCTCTTAATTAAAGCTTTGGATTCTCTTTGTGGGCATGCTAGCAGATTTTTATGAAACATCTGTTGAGTTATGCTTCCATTTTAAGACAAAGTGTTGTTCTTACATGGTTGAGTGAGAAACTTTGTGAAAGAAGTTCTGCAAACTGAACTGAAAGTCAGTGTTTTCAGTCCTTGGAGGGTAGGAAAGGTCTGACTTTTTGGTTTTCTCTGAGAGATTGGCGGACAGCTTTTTAAACTCCTGTATTTCAAAGAGGCTACTGAGGTATGAGTATGAGAACACAACCAAAAGAGTATCAAAAAAAAAAAAAAAAAAGTGAGAGAACAAGATAACCCTCCCAGCTCTGATCTGTGTCCTACTGTTGACCTTCAGATGTGTTCAGCAAGAGGACAAATAAGCAAAGGAAATATTTTCTGGGTTTTTTTGCCAGATAAAACTGAAGGAGATATTTGAGACCCCTACAGAAATCAGCCTTGTTCTGGAACTGGTCACTGGTGGAGAACTTTTTGACAGGTAAGTTATCTGTGCCCACCTCTCAGTACCTTCCTTCCCCAAGGATGCTAGAGCTCATTTCTTCTCTGCATGTAGTCCCTGTATTAGTAATTCCTGGAATTCTTTCATCAGTATATGATTTTTTTTCACATGAATAAATACCTGCAACAAATGGCTTARAAATGCCTTTGGATATGTAATTAGCAGGAGACTTTTGGGAAATTATACATGATTTGGAAACAGAGGAATTAGCCAGTAAATGTTGAAGAACAGTACTTAGCAGGTGCATAGCACTGTGTATGTTAGAGCAGAAAAAAGGCAGGAAAAACTGGAGAGATCTCATTGACAGGTTGTCATAAAACATGTCAGATGGCAGTCAGCCTGCCAAGAGGACAGTGTTGTGACAAATAAAAATTTGGTAAGCACACTAAGAAGAAGGAAATTCTCTTAGGTATYCCCTGCATTTATAAAACATCTATTTTTGCCAAAAATGCTCTGCAAGACAGCTGTGGAGTTCTGAAGGTTTTGCTCATGAGGGTGCACATGCTTCTGGAGCCGATGCATAAAGTGAGATGATCCTTTAAYAGTTTTGGGATGTTATTTTACTAGTAGGGATTTGTGCTTTTTTAGAACAAGAGACAATAAGAAAAACATTTGATACTGGCTTGAGTAAATGCATKAACTTACTGGAGTTAGTGATTTCCATCTCATGTAAGGACAGGTTTTTTGATTTTCCCTCTTCTGTAATTAAAGTTTAGTATTTTAGAGGACTGCTACAAAAATTTCACATCAAATATTCAGTCTGAAAGTATCTTTGACTTATGCCACTGTCACACTTTTCATCTTGACAAGAACTGTTTCTGAGCAACAATAAAAGCAACTGCTCCTACAGCATGCCGAGTTTGACAGAAGAAAGGTGATTGCTGCCTCAATATTCAGACAAAGCAATGAGGAGAGATGTGCTGCAGGTTAAACAACAGTGAGGGCCCCGTCCTGGACTGGAGGGGGCCCTGGTCAAGGTGCCTCAACTTTCATGAAGCCCTTTATAAATCCATGTAGGTTTAAATCAGGTCATTTTCAGGAAGGCTGGGTACTCTACAGGAGTCTTTGATGAGAAGGTTTTGCAGAGGGGAAACACAAATAATCCAGTGAAATGGTTGGTTCCTGAGCAGCAGCCATCTGTGTGATGGAAGAACTGAAGAGGGAAGATTTCATTGTATCCAGGATGGAGAATTTCATTACTTGATGAAATCAGGATTTAATATTCTGAAAGTTTCAACAGTCTATAATCTGTACTCAGCAGTGACTATGGGATTTGAACCATCAGATCAATCTTTTCAAAAAGGTTGGATGCTTGTTCCAGTAGATGCTAGTTCCTTGCTGCTTTGGGCAGCTAGGATGAGCTGTCTGGCATTCTGAATAGAAGCAAAGTAATTTCATCCCTTGGCAGAGTTGTGGAGCCCCTTGTTATGCTGCAAATGAGCACCAGTGCTGTGGAGATCTGAACTCGGCATCCTCCTTTGCTCCATGCACAACAGAACTTGAAACTTTGTCGGGACAGTGATTTGGAAACAGACCCAACAACCACTGAAACAATAAACYGTAAAAAATTACCTGCAGCTCTTAAGGTATCAATACAAGTATTACTTCACACTTCAACCTTAAACTAAAAAGAATTAAATATCAATATGCAGCCAAGATGATTTGCACTAGTGGCTCCAGTTAAACGTTAGCTGTCTCCCCATTCCTCAGCTGGGCTGAAGGACTAACMCTTGCATTGTACTTTGCTATACCATGGCTGCCGTCCAAGCTTGGATGAGGGTAAATTTAGCTTTCTGCCTTAGGGCAGATTCCTCCCTCATGCTTAATCKTTTCAGTCCTTACATCTCTTCATCATGTGGAGGAAATATCCTGAATGACAGAGAGGCCTCRTGCACGCCTTTTCCTGTGCTTGTATGATTCCCACCCCAGGACAAAGAGAATGATCCTGGAATATCTCCTCCTGGGCAGGTGAATTGTGTCAGGTGTGGAGGGAGAGCTGTGACCACGTCTTGAGATCTGCCCTGTGGCTGTCCTTGTCACCAAATTTTTAAACTGGTTTATTTTCCAATATCCTCAAGGAGAGACCCTGTGAGGGCAAGCAGGACCCCAGTGTGACCCAGGGCTTGGTATGCCTTTTATGCCTCCTTTACTTTGTAAACCACAGTCCACACACAGACACAAAAGCAACCTTTGTACTCAGGAGGAGTTACTTTTGTGCCTTTCTCAAATCAGCTATCAGCAAGTGACTTGCCTGGTACTGTTACACAAGCACTCCTGCTCTCCTGACTGCAAACACCTTCCTTACTCTTACCGCTAAATCTTGTAATATGCTGCTTATTTTTTACATCACCTGTTTTATTGCTCTAGCTTTCTGCCATCCCAGATGTCCATTCTTCTTTTGAATAGTATTTGAGCTGCAGATGAGAAAGTCCTTTCATGTAAACATCCCTCTTATCATGAAGATGATTTTATAAATACCCAAGATCCGATTAGTCTTCTAGAATCCTATTAGCACTGTTGATGTGCTGCTGGTTTCATGCCACTCTAACTAAAGGTTCTGGGTAATGAAATTATTCACTTCCTTCACCATATTTAACATTACTGTCAAATCATCCATGTTATTGTTAAAATGAACTCTCATTTTAAAAATTATGACAATTTTTCAATTGTGTTGCCTAAAAGGAAATAAATWCAAATGAACGCATCAGTTTGACACCTGAATTAATACAGCTGAAATCAGATTGGTTTTGGCTCTATTTTTGAAAAGAAAACTCTTTGCCAGACTTCATAAATCATGTTGTAGGTCATACCCTACATACCACTCCAAATAAATCATAAACAACTACTCAAAACTGGAGTGGTTTGTGTAAAACAGAATATTTGTCGCCAATTTACATGATGATTTTTGCCAACCCATTAAATGAGTAGTGACAAAGAGCTTATGGCAAAGACTGACAAAAAGAGTCACAGACCAGTGGAGGAATTTACAGGACAGAGAAAAAAATGCAGCAGATCTAAACTAACTGGTATTAAAGTTCTTTATGGATGCTGCACCTCCAGCCTAGTGCTGACRCATATTCTGACATTTGCTTGCTCCTCCTCTTCGTTCCTGCATGTTTAAAACAGGCATGCATGGGTGAAGTGCATTAAAACTGGCAGTGTTTTGGCAAAGCCACAAGGGACCATCCTCTGATAAGGCTCTGAGTGTTCTGGCAGTGGTAAGCCCAACAGTACAGTTTGGTACCTTGTCTTGTATAAGCAAACTTTGTYGAATTTGGTCTTTTCTGTTCAGACTTTATTCATCTCTATTATCTTTCAGCTGAATCACCAGYATATCTCTTTCACAAATATGAATTTCAGATCTACTTTAACTTCATTTTAATCAGAATACCTGCAGATTGTTAAGAATAGCTTTTGCTTTTTCCACGTAACATAATAATGTCATTCCATAGATTGTTCTTGTGCCATGTTGGCATCTTGACCACAGACTCTTCTGTGTCTTCTTTCATCTTATTATTAAGTGCACCAAACAATGTCTAAAAATAGCATTTACAGCTGACAGTCTCTTGACTCACTTCCATTTCAAGTTTCATGTAATTTCCTCTGAACTATAGGTTCAAAATCATTCTCTTATTTAATGGAGTGCACATTAAAAATAATAATTGTTCTAACAAACTTATCTTTTTAAGAGCTATGGGAACTATTGCCTCTTATGGACAAAATATAGTGAAGCTTTCCCAGGCCTCAGGCACAAACCAAAAGCAGAAACATTTTTGTTCCTACTTTTGGAAATTAAAATTGCTATGTGGTGTCAAAAAAAGTCAAGGAATTAATCTGCCACTAAAGTGGGATTCTTTTATGAGCTAGTGCCAGAACAGCACCTTCTATTTGCTTCTGTGGTCTGGTCTCATTTGTCRTGGCAGTCTATCTTATGAGCAAGGGTCAGAGAAGTCCTTTGGTCTCTCCTTGCTTCATTTGGCCAAGTACAGATCCCACACTCAGGACTGGCAAAAATAAAAAGAGGTTAGTGACTCAACTTCACCAGCCGTGCCTACTCTCTGACGCTGGAAGTCAAGACATAAAGTTCTGATAAAAGTGCTCCATGATATCTTAGAAACTCATTYGGTTTCTCTTAAATTTAGATTCATTAATGATAAACCCCAGTAATTTCAAAATAAAGACATGTGTACAAATGCTCATTTGTTAGTCTTTTCAGTGTAATTTGGTATTTATTTCTTGTACAGTCGTAGTAATGCTTTTTTACTTAGTTTTTTTTTGGTGGTCAAAGCTTTTTTTTTTTTTTTTTTTTTTTTTACATGAGCTTTGAATGTGTGGAGCTTTTTTTTTTTTTTGGTGGTAGTTTGCTAATTTTTTTTTTTTTTGGTAACTGGGAGAGTTTTTTTTTTTTTTTTGGTTTGTACACGTGAGCTCTGAAGCTGTGAAGCTCTTTAGTTTATTAGGTGGTTTTAATATACAAGGTTTTCATGATTACAGCTCCTCTGACATTTATTCTCAGTTTTCTACCACAGCCTCAGAACTGTAATATAGATATACATAGTCTGGATGCAGACAAACTAGGAGAGATACACCTATTAAATTAAATAGAAAGTTTATTGACTCTTAGCTGAATTCCTTAACTATTACCAAATTTTTACTTCTTAATTTGTTGAAATGCAGAGAGATTTTGACAGCTGTTGAGGTGTGTATACACCTATAGCCTATGTAACAGTACTCTACGTTTATATGTACATAAAAAAGCCCCTGACTGACCCAAGTGATTATGATGTGTTTTCTGTGCCTTGATTCAACACCTCTCCTGAAATTGCAAAGTCACTTAGGGTGTGCATGCTTTGTACATTTTGTGTTTAACTGCTTTTTTTTTCTATGTACATTATGATGAGAGTGTAAACTCAAAAATGTTTTAGGAAGAAATGCAGTTTTCCCAAATACTCAGAGCACTGAAATGCTTTTCCTAGACA